AGCAGGATGTTCTAGCACAAGTACTGGGGCTGATTCTGTTCCAGGGGACTTGGGGGCCTTCACAAATGCTCTTGTAGACACTGGATTTATGAATGTGAGTAAATACCTTTGCTGAGTAAGGGTGTTTCTGAGGTACAGGTGAAAATGCTTAGGTGAATTGCAGCCAAATTTAAAACAAAACAGCTTTTTATTTTATTTTTTTAAGAAAATTAAGCATAAGCTGTAATGATAGTGTTTTGTGTTTAAAAATATATAAGAAATCTGCATGTACTATTCTTGTTAGTATTAAGAGTAGAGAGGACATTTCGAGTTGAATATCAGGTCCAATTCTGATCTTAAAACTTGATGTTTTCCCTGTTGTCAGGGGCCAAAGAGACATTGAGGGCATGGGACATCCAAAACTGTGTGTGTGATAAACTGAACTGACTGGATGGTAAAAAGCATCTCTCCCACTTGGAGAATAGCTGGGCTACTGTGAGGCATGTAACATACCATAGATGACTCCTATCCAGAAAGAAGAAAAAGTTTTATGAGTGACTAAGGATCAGTTGAATTCCTTGCTGTCAGAGCCATAGGCTTCATGACATAATTTTTTCTGCTCGGGAGGTCTGTAGCTGCTAGAGTTAGAAAGGATGATTGTGCAATGGGTGAAATGCAGAGATGTGGATCCAGTGGCTGAATTTTATTTTAATTCCTGTTTAGGTTCAAGCCCTCTTCCTGGGAAGCTGTCGCGAATGAGGAGATGTGGCAAGCCAGGTGATGTTCCTTTGCTTTCCCCCAATAGTCAGGACACGATGCCAACTCAGTGGTGTGGAATACACATCAAAGTGGGCATTGATGGCACATTGGTGTATTGGATCTAAATGTGCCAAGCTTTAAAAGGAAAACAGTGGCAGAATGAGATCAGCAATGCATTGCCTCTGGTAGATCCTTCAGGAAGGTGGTGGTTATTTTTAACTAATATGTTCTGGGCAGTGTGTCTTGAAGAAGCAGGCGGTAGTTTGGCTATAGAGTGAGAAAATATATGATGGAAAGGAATTTGTTTTGCTGCAGACTTAAACAGACGCACAGCTTGTGTACTCTCCTGTATGATTAAAGAGCTTAATGGACATGTTGAAGATGTGTGTAATCATGTGATGTGACCTAGTCAGCCTAAGGAGTTGTTATAATAGATGTTTTTCTTGTTTTCCTAGGATGAAAACAGCTTTCTTTATATTTGACCTTGCAGAAACTGCCAGTGTGACTGCAGAAATAAAATCACAACTTTACACATTTGCGTACGCTGTAAGTCACATATTTTGGTTATGAATTCCCCCTGCAATTGCCATCCATTTTTTAAATTTCTCAGCTCCATAGAAATATCATGGTGTTTCCACACAGGTAGGCAGTCCTGTAATCTGCATTCTTCCTTGTTCATCCAAACCAGGAGCGCAGCAGATTCAAAGAGATTTGTTCAGGGATTTTATCCATCCCTACTTGCCCTCTCGATCACGGAGGATGCCAAAAGCTAACCAGTCAACACTCTGCTTTTGCTATAATTATGTTGTCTGTGTTGGGCTCCAAACCCATGCCAAGAGATTGCTTGTCCTGACGTCCCCTCTCTGCTCTTGTCCCCTCTGTCATTATATAGTCATGCATCCGAGCCAGCAAGTGTAAAATCCGACAGTCTTCTCACTGCAGATTAATTCTGCTGCATTTCACACCAAAGAATGACACACACGGGCTAATGTAGGTATCTCTGGAAATATCGTACTGCCAGAGATGCCAACGGATGTACAAAACGATCAGTGCGTGTCAGCAGAGAGGAAGAATGTTTTATACCCCAGCAAACAGTCAACAAATATTTTCCTTTAAATTCTTGCCTACTTCATGGTGATTTTTTTGCTGTTCTGTTCAGCAAAGTTCGCAGGCGTCTGCCTGATGTTGAGCTTATGAATATTCCCTCTGAAGTCAACAGACTGCTTAAATCCTGCAGAAGACATCCTGATCTCCTGAAATATTGAGTAAATGTTTTTCCAGGCACTGCAGTGAAATCTCTTTTCCCTAGTCCGGTATAACATCTCTCTTGGGGAAGTGCATAATATGCAGGGAGGTTATCTCGATCACCTGTAATGTTTCATTTCCTAGAGTAGCTATTTGTTTAGAAACATTTTAGTCCCCTGTTGGGTTTTGGATTCACGCTATTGCACACCGCATGGCAAACAGGGAGTTTCAGAAATGTTCGGACTCTGGATTTGGGCATCTAAATAACACCCGTCCTTTTAAAAACTACAGACAGTTTTAAAGTACTATTAAGAACTGTTTTCCACTCATTTAATTAACTTGTACTTTTTTTTTTTCTTTTATCCTTTAACAGTCATACAAAGAAATTATCAACTCTCATCCAAAGCATCCTGTGAACTGGCACAAAAACTATGCAATAGCTTGTGAAAGGATGCTGCGTCTCCACCGGGTGGATGTGGATCCTGAAGCATTGCTCTCTGAAACTATTAAACATTTCCTTCTGTACACTGAGAAAGCAGAGGACGATCCCCAGCGACAAGATATTCTGCAGGCTGTAAAACACCTGAAGAAAGAACTGCAGGTGCTGAGGAAAATGAAGAAAAAAGATCTGAAGCAGCAAGCTGTATAGAGCCTGTTTGATGTGCTTTCTGAAGTGCCAGAATTTGGAAGTCGGGAGATAAAATCGAATTGGTCATTAACAATATGAGAATGGCTTTAAAAGGTGACAGAAATATTAGCAAAGAAGATATCAAACTTGATCACCTTTGTAGAAACAGGCTGTTGTTTGTTCTTCAATTGTCATTGCCAAATGAACATTTTGTATTGTTTTGTATGGGGAAAGCGCATAGCAAAATAAAATACCAGGTGTAAAAAAGAAGAGTTTTCTTTTAAAGAAAACTGTTGAGTCTGTAATACTGTGAAGATTTTTCATTTTGTGTACTGCATCCTGTATAGATGCAAAAAATGTATTTATTCTTTAAACGTTTCTTCTGTTACTGAGCAACGCGATCTTCTGCAGACATTTTCTTTAAGCTGTATTGAACCTGTGTGTTTTTAAGGTCATGTGGCGGTGTGAGTAGGCCAGTTTTCGTCAGGTCAACCAAGGCGTGCTACTGAACACGCTATGTCACCTGGGTGCACCTGTACAGGGGACCGCTGCAGGCACAACCTGCCCGGGGATGGATGGAGTGACGCTAGCATGAGACGGTAGAGTAAATATAAACCCAGCTCTTTCAGCCTTGCTTGCTTTGCGGGGAAGGTTGTTTTCATTGCATTGCTGCAATGAAGTTTATCCCAGCATAGAATACCAGTATTCATAGAGCAGGAAAGCAACTTTCATTTTTCTTTGTAGACCACCGTGACACCATGGGGAGTAGTGTGGCGTCTCCTGGACTGCATCAGTCTGACAGAGAGGCCACGGTGCAGAGGTCCTGCACTGGGGAAAGGAGATCAGCTTGGTCGGTGGATTGCTTCCACGTGGCTCATAGCGCTGACGCTGTGGCATCTTATTACGCAAGCTGGTAGTGCTCTTCTCTGCCATGTCGCCACGTCCATCCTGAAGGCCTAGTGACTTGGTTCCCAGGGGTTCAGCTGTGTAAGGCTCGGCCCGTTCTGCTTTCAGAAAAAGCGACCTGAAATAACATGTCTATCTTTCAACATGTTTTGTTGATCAACATGTCCTTCAAAGGCTTAAAACAAACGTCAAAGTCTCCTTGGTATTATTAATGGTAATGTGTGATTGTTAGATTTTCCATACTTAGCTTCATAGTTCCATGAGAGCTCAGCCTAGATTTTTTAAACAAGAAAAATTGCTGCCAAACCAGGATTGCGTTTGGGTTAGTATAATTTTCAGAGAAGAAGGAGGTACTTCTGTTAAGATCAAGTTATGGAGACGCACCTCCTGGAAGGTTTCCAGACGCTTGGAAGAGTAAAACACAATTTGTGCAGGAGTGGAAGGTGTCACATCTGCGTGCTCTGTCACGTCAATGTCAGTCTAGTTTGAGCGCCGTGCGTGATCTCTGCTTTGCCCACATTTGTGCAGATTTGGGTTTGCTGGGTTATTAATCCTAATAGATGCCTTTAACAGTAGACCTGTATTCTTTTTTTGTCCCCTCTAAGTGCTAGTTTCCCGTAATGGCTTTCACCGAACGCTGTCTTATATATAAAAGTCAAGCTTCTGTCTAGGAATCTCTGTCTCTGGGTTACAAGAGAACGTTCTTTATTTTTCTCCCTCTCATTCTGATTTATTTTGCATAGTATGATTTCCAGAGCAATTTCCTCCTGGTCTTTTGTAGGCAATTCTCAGACAAACAGCAGATGAGAAATGCGTAATAAAAGCTAAACCTATGGGTTCTGGGCTGTACAGCCACAGAAGCAGAGGGCAGAGAATGAAGAGGAGCGTTCAGAGGTGTCATTTTAGCTCTTTGTCTTGCAATCATCGGCTACATTTCAGGTGGACCGTGCCTCACTTAAATCTCTTCCATTTTGTCAATTCCTGTAAAAGTGTTTGTACAGAGCGAGAGAATATCATACATTCCTCTGTGGGGCTTTCTCATGGCTGGCTTTCTTCTCCCTTCTCAGAATCAGTCCTTCAGCCTAGCAGAAAAGCATTAGGAATCCAATTTTTGAATGCTTTTGTTACCTGCATTATTGAAAATCCATTCAAGCAAATATACTGAGCCAAGGGTTTTCTTTATCTTGATTAGATGCCCCTCCTTAGCTGTATAGTCTTGAAATAATTGGAAGCTTTTGTGGATTCCACTATCTACTTGGGAGAAAAGAGGGGCTGCACAAAAGTATCTAAGCCTGCAGTCTGCCTCAAGTAATGTATCATAATATACTGTAGTAAGTAGCAATGCAAACTAGGGAGGAATTTTCCCACAGACAAATGCGTTCCCAGGTGTGAACAGTAGTGGAAACGTGATGCTTTTTAGGGGGTGAAAGCAGATATAGTTGGAATTGTTCCATTCACGCTCTCTGTGTCCCTGTGAATTGTGGATGTGTGTAATATCTGTGTGTGTGTGTGTGTGTGTGTGTGTGTGTGTGTTGCATGTTTGGCTTGAAGATATCATTGATGCCAGATTGCATAGGTGAAAATATTTAACAGAGGCAGAAGTTAACAAAATTCCTCTCGGTGAATCTGTTCAAATTAGATTTGCTGGGGCTTTTATACGAAGCAGTTGCATGGATGTTTCTAAGCCTGTTCGCTAAAAGGCAGTGCTGAGGGATGCTGGCAGAAGTTTAATTTTTATCAGCTCCTCTTAGGTGGCACCCTTAAGTTTATCAAACAAGCAAAGCTGATTTGCTCTTCGTTAGTCTCAGTTGCATGAATCGGTTGCCAAGTAAACAGGATTTTGCATTTTCCTAATTACTTTCATATTTGTGTTTTACCTCTATTTGTTCTCTTGCAGAACTGGTCCTAATAATTAGTCAGACTCCTGCTGCAGAAACCT